GGGTGGATTAGCTCACTGAGCACCAGACATTTTAATTAAGTTTTCCAGTTCAGCGTGGGGGTATAAGGAACTGCAAGAAATCTAAGCCTGTCTCTTGTGGCTGCTGATAAACAAAATGAATGTATTGTCAATGGTTAAAGACTACAACACTGAGAAAGCCAGAAAATCAGTTTCAATCCCTGTAAACTAAGCTATGCACATGAAGAAAGAATTGCATTAAGATGCTACTTACAGAAGTGAAAATACAGAGAATTCTGCTACTAATTAGGCTGAGCTAATGGTAACAGAGACAAAACACAGGGTCTGAGATGCAGATTTCCATAAATATTTCTGGCCTCTAATTCACAATTTGGTTCTTTATTCACTACTTAATTGTTAACCTGTTTTTCATCATGTCTTGACCACTGACGCTGGACTTTTGTACTGTTCTCCACCTTTCCATAATTCCAGCTAGAAGTTGCTGACCTCCCTACACACCCACACCCTATTATATTCTGTGCGTTTTCACCTTGCTCCCAAATCTTGGGACTTTCTCAGCCAATGTCCATCACAGTCTCTGCTTTCTCATAGCCATGTTTATTGTAGACCTTTCTATACTACTACACTCTGCTTCCTCCCAATCCAACTCCCCCTCACCACTTCCACCTTCACATGAAATCTGACCTCCTTACTACTTGTTCTTATCCCCTCCTCTTTCACAACTAGGCTCCTCATTTTTGTCCACATCATGCTCTTTGATCAACATACTAGACACTTCAAGCTGTTAAACTTTTTCAGCTGAGGTCCTTCTATTTGAGTTTGACATCAGAATACATGTAACAAGTAATTTTGCAACTGTAGCAAGTTTTCCAGTATGTTGGGGGAAAAAAAAAAAAAAAAAGTTGTTTTCTCACTTTGTTTTGAAATAAAATCCTTCAGGAGTACTAAATTGAAGTACACCTTCAATATAGTATCTAATAAATCAAAATCTTCCCTCACCAGACCCAGGACCTGCAGAGATTAACAAAGTCTATTTAAGTGCGTCAAAGATATTTTAAAACTAAGTAAAATTGTACTCCAGATACTAACCTTCATGATCAGGTGCTGACTGTGACAACATATTGTATTACTTATATAGTCAATTCATCAAGAGTCTCTGGTTTAAAAAAATAATTTAAAAAAAATAACAGTGTTTTGCAGTAAGTCTATGCCAACTGACCAATAGCTTGAGGAAGTTTTGCATTATTGAACTTCATCAGTTCTCCAAGAACTTGTTTTGACACAATTTTCTAGTTTTACCTACACAAACATAGTGAGGACATTTGATCATTGTTGAAATATATTATATTCCACGAGTACAAATTTAGAATATTGCAGTTCTAATATTTTTGCTGTTTATTACAGTGGGGATGAATTGGCCATTTTTGTATTTAATGTTTAGCCAAGAGATACCCCCATTCTGCACATTTTACACAGTAAAACCTTTTCTGGTGATGAACTCAATTAGATTAAAAATTAACCTGTACCGTGCACACACTCACGACTTATGTGATAGGTCTTCACCTGATGAGCCACATGAAAAACAGCAGCCAAAAATGGACTGCTGTAAGTACAACTCATGTAGACTATACCAACTCAGTTTTATATTCTTCTCATGCCATTCCCAAGCATTTTCAGAGCACTCAGAGAAAAGATGCATCCCAAATACCTTAGTTCTCCCACCCTGATCTACAGCACAGAAGAAACATTTGATACACTAGTATTTAACATTAAAATTTACTTCTCAAATACACTAGTAATTAATATTAAAGTTTACAACTCAGATGTACACTTAAAACACTTCCATCCTCACATCTGTCTTGAGGTTCTTTTTGCAAGCCTTGATTTAACAGTGTGCTTAACCATATTAATTTTAGTGCCTTCTTCCATGTAACCCTCAGTTAAAACAGTAACAAAGTGACCAAAATGGCCATTTCAAATAGGCATTAAGCAAAAAAATCCAGTAAGCGAATCATGCTTGAGATGCACTAAGTACCAAGATGATACTGAAGGAATACTAACCTGCTTATTGACTTCAGCCATTGACAGTTGTAATGCCATGATCATGCAGTCTGCTCCACATACAGTAGTCCTTTCAGAGTTTGAAAATAAATGCCATTGTCTTCTGAAACACTTGATCAAGTTTAACATTTTTTGCTGGACAGCAGTCATAGTCTAGAGTAGAAGATAGAAATAATTAAGAGAAATAAAAACTAACATAACTATGCAAGAGGCCTACGTGTATCTTCACCTTTCAATAAGCTGCGCAAACCCTGTTTTATCTTTTTGCAGATCAAGTTCTTAGAACAAAATCTTCTCACTAAACCAGAAGACTAGCAAGACTTGCCTCACTGTGCCAGGGCAACTATGAAGACAAGAGGTTAGAAGTGCTCATCTGTGACCTGTCTTCACACAGACCCCTTACTTTTCTTGTGCTTTGCTGAAAGTGACAGTAGAGAAGCAATACCCATACCATTTACTCTCAGAACACAAAACCTGCCTTTCCTCTTGTTTCACCTAGCTAAGGCAGTCCACAGCAGGGTTTTTTTTTGGTGATTGGTATAATCAGGAAAAAATGAGGGAAAGTGGCAGGAAGAACAGGAGACATGAAGTAAGACTGTAACAGCAACTGCAATTATTCTCCAAAATGTTTAAAAAGGACAACCTACTTCAATATTTTACGTTGACATAAATGAAACATGCAGGCCAAAGGGGATGAAACAGGTAGGCAGGTAAGTCAGCGTGGGGCAAACAAAAATCTCTCTAAAGGCTTTTCTCTCTCTGTCCCTGCTCAGAGAAGTTTCCAATGGACACAACCCATCACTCCCAAAGAAACAGCCCGAATAAGCCAAAACCCCTACAAAACAAGCCCCAAATCTTAAACCTGAGGAGCCTACACCACCATTACCGCCACTGCCGTCCCGCTCCCCCGGCTGGGGCTGCCTCAGGGTTCCCTCCTCACCACGGTCCCCGCCTATGCGCGGCTCCCTCACTGCAGGTGCCACACGAAGCAGCGGCACAGCCCCTCTCCCCAGGCGGAGGAGGAGCAGGATGAACACAGCCCTTACAAGCAGCCCGGTCAACACGCTCCTGCTTCCCCAGCGGAGCTACCTGCGAGACCGGGAAGGTAGAGCCGCTCTCCCGGCGGTTTAAATCTAAATCCTCCGCAGCTGCCCAATTAGAGCCTGGGAGCCGTTGACCCGGAAGCACAGCGCTGATGCTCATGGGGTGGGAGGTGCTG